GCACACAACGAGTATGCTGCACCCAATGAGTACGCTGCACACACCGAGTATGCTGCACCCAATGAGTACGCTGCACACAACGAGTATGCTGCACCTACTGTCTACCCGAGGAGAGGGGAGTATGCTGCACCAGCTGTCCGTGGAGACTACCATTAAATCTGGACGCGAATCGTAATTCAACGTTGATCTCCGTAGAAAAAAAAAACACAAAAAACGACCCTCCCCCCCACTGACAAATGAATCCCTTACCGACAGCAAGGAGCTAAATATTTAGCTCAATATTTAGCTCAAATATTTAGCTAAATATTTAGCTCCTTGACCGACAGATGCATGGATGATGAAACGTTTATCGTCTTGATGACCCGACAGCTCGTCCGGTCGCCCGTCGGTCAGCCGTAGAGCAATGTCCGACCCGGCAACCGTGACGACTGTCCTTGTATGTAACGCGAGCGCAGACTGGCATTCATTCATGTTCGTAACTTTAAGCCAACGCGAAGAAGTGAACCCGCGCGATGACGACAACGATGACGATGATGATAATCCGCGTGGAGAGAGCAGGCGGCGACCTTCCTCCGACCTTGGAAGTCGCAGCCGCTCGACCTTTGACCTGTACGTGTTAAGCAATTGTGACATTTATAAGGCCGATTTTTTTATTTATTTATTATCGCGGTGATTAAAAATCTTATTATATGCACGTAGTTTGCTCTTTGGTGGTATTTCCTTATGTATGCGCTCGTACGTAATTACATCGCACTGCCTGTAAACTCGATAATTCAACAACAAAACATCTCTAAAACCTCATTAGAAATCCTATAAAACTATGGACGCAAAACATCTAAAACATCATTAGAATTATCACTAAATTATAGACACACAACATCTCAAAACCACATCAGAAATCCTACTAAATTATGGGCGTTAAACGTCAAAAACTTTATTAGAACGATTACAAAATCATAGACACAAAACATCTCAAAACCGCATTGGGAATTCTACTAAACTACGGCCACAAAATATCTCAGGCAATAATGTAAACCACCTCGCTAAGCGTCCGTGCTAAGACACACGGTATCATACGTGAATAATATATTAAGAAACAAGATAACCCCATTACACATTCTATCTAACGAAAACCACGAGTGCGATTGTCACTCTGTCGTATGAGTGAATTTATACGTCGTTTCTCGTCGTGTGCGTGCAAGTTGTCCAAAACGAACGCTAGAGAGCAGCACGTGATACACCCTTAGGTGGGTAACCACGTCGGCGTGACGTCACCTAGATACGTCAGCGTGTTCCAGTTGATGACGGAGGCACTAGAGAAACCGGGGCGACAGCTGCGTCATGTCCTCCTCTCTCTACCAGTCTGAAATTATTGCCCTCAAGCGAATGAAAAAAAAACGCGAAGCGGTCATGTACGAAGGGCATATCAACTCTCCATTTTTACTTACCGTTCCCCTAAAATTTCCTCCCGTGTTCCTCTTTCTAGTTCCCCCGATTTCGTTTCTTTTTAGAGGCTGAAAAAGCATTGTGTGAAGTTATAGAATTCGCTGCGCTGCGCGGGTATCTACTCTAAGCCATGCTATGAGAGAAGACAACATTCCTCTCTCTCCTCTTCCAGTACAGAGACATCCCATCGCTGCATGTGCTAAATCTCGTGTCAGTCCGTTCCCGGATCCGTAAATAATCATAGAGGAATTGTGTGCCGTTAATTCCTATTCTATTAGGTATCTATTCTCTATTATATTTCTATTTAAGTGTGCTAAATTGCATGATTTGCACCCCAATTCAAAAAAGTTCTTACCGTGGGAGTGAACACCCACACCCTCCCCCGCTCGATCGCTCCGCTCCCTCGCATCGTTTCCTGTTCCGTATTCAAATTTCTCAAATCGGGTAACCCTGTCTGCCCCTTCGAACCCCGCTGGGGGTTTCACCACCAGACTCCTACTGAAACCGTACCACTTTAAAATTCCTTCCGACGGGCCTGGAAAAGGTGAGAAAAGGAAGAGAGAAAGGAATTCCGCGTCCGTGATGTAGTGTCTGTATATGTGCCTATAAGATATCTTCGTGCTTGCGTGTATGTGTGTGCATCTGTGCCTGTGTGTGTGTTGTATGTATGCGCGCGTGTGATTGCGCGTACGTGCGCGCATCTCCCTCTTTATTCCTCCCTTCCTTTTCTCTCATCTTTCCTTCCTCTTCTCCTCTCCCTTCCCCTCCGCGTGCGCGTGTATTATAGGCGTAAATTCACACACACACGCACGCTTGCACGCGCGCGCGCACACACATCCACGCACGCACGCACGCACGCACGCACGAACACACACACGCACGCACGTACGCATGCACACATCCCACAATGAATGAATCAAAAGAGAAATGCACCTAAATGCACAAGCAGAGACGCAAAACGCAACGTTTCCGGTAGAATAAATATGATGTACTTTATTTCTGCAGACACACAAACACAGGCGTTAAGCACACGGCCATCCTGCTAAAATCTGCGCCTTTCGCACCTAATTTACATACGCGCGCATATCTTACAGTGGAATCGCGGACGAGACAGAGCGAGAGCAGGCGCGCGCGCGTGCAGGAAAAGGGGTAATGCTATCCCCCGGGCGTGGAGGGAGGTTACCGCAACGAGGTTAACGCTAAATCCCGACGAATTGACACAATTTTCCCAGATCCGAGACAATTTTAGAGGGTCTTTCCCACGTCCCGATGGACTTCTGTTCCCGAATCACGGAAAATTTATCTGAATTTTCCAGTTTTCAGGTAAATAAAATGGCCAATCCCGCGTCCCGAAAATACCCGTTCCCCCCCTCTATTAACGATTGATTCTAACACACCAGCATTGTCGCATGATGATGTAACAATATACGGTGCGTCACTACCACAGCCACCTGGCCGGCCGTGACTTGTAAACACAATCGCCACTAAATGCAGCCAATTAACAACCTAATTACCACAGAATCACTGCAAATTCTGCCGCCAACTATCGCCCAACTGAAATATACCGGCCGCTATCTTGCCTGGCAGCATTCTTTAGCCGGGAGATGTTTATAACTAATTGCGTAATCAAAAGAAAATGGGGGCCGGCGCGAGGGAGGGGGAATAAAAGGATGACGTCAGCGTCTCACATCGCGCGTCCTTGACAACCGCTAACGTAAGCGGTCGACGCGCGTATAGAGGGCGCGCACAGTAAACAATGGCGACGATTGACGCTGATAGAGCGCCCATAGAAATCATATACTAGTTATAGTGAGACTCTCTCTGTATATGTTTCTATGGGGGTGGCGATGGGGAGGGAAGAGGGGGGGGTGTTGAATGAATCACAACCCATCTTGCCGGTCAAGGACTGCGTGTGTCGCTTTATTGTTGGTTCTTTCGTCAGAGATTTAGGAAATATAGCCGTCGTCATTGTCGTCATTTCCTGTGCCCAGTACCGCGTGACGCCATTATTGCCTACATCCATATACATATACATATACTAATATATACTATAATATATATATATATGTATTGTATACTACACATATATATATTATATATATGTATATAGATATATACATGTATATTAATATATAACACATATAATAGATATATATATATATATATATATTGCCTATATCATTAGCTGATACATTAGGGCCCGCTAATATAAAAACCGTTTATTGCTTAAAAATTAGGGACCGCGTGGGTAGGAAACCCCGCAAAACACCACTCCCACATAGAAAGCAAGAGGGCAGGCAGAAAGAGAGCGCGCCTGAGAAGAGGAGCAGAGAGAGAGAGAGAGATGAGAGAGAGAGAGAAAGAAGCGAGACAGTGATAGAGGAAAGAGAGAGAGAGAGAGGGAACGGAGAAAGAGAGAGAAAGGAGAGAGAGAGAGAGAAGAGAGAGAGGAGAGGAGAGAGAGAGAGAGGGCGGCGAACGTGAATAGAGAGAGGAGAGCGAGAGAGAGAGAGAGAGAGAGAGGGAGAGAGAGCAGCAGCAGAGAGAGAGAGAGAAGAGAGAGAGGGTCGTCATTAGTCTAAATCTAGTTGCATCGGGGGAAAAGCAAGACAGCGTTGGAAACACAAACCACTTAGTAGCCAGTACGTTAACAGCCTGAGGTAACCCGTTCCAAGGCAACAACGACAGTTGTTTACACGCTCTCTCTCTCTCTCTCTCTCTCTCTCCTTCTCTCTCTCTCTTCTCTCGTCTCTCATCTCTTTCTCTCTCTCTCCTCTCAGCGTACAATAGCACGCATTGTTACGCCTGTCGTGTCGAACTATCGGCACAGCTGCAAGAATTAAGCACACGAGTCATAATTATACGTACTTATCCACGCCACCTACGCACCGCCGCTACGCACGTCACGCACACACACATGCCACGCTAACGCCACACACACAACGCACACCACGCGATCGCTTCTTGAAATGCGCACACGCACGCACAGCGACCGCTTCTGATATGCGCACACCACGCACGCACGCACGAAGGGTACTACACGCGCCAATCTTTCGTCCGTTCAACGGACACCTTACTAATACATTGATTGCCTATAAGCAATAAGACATAATCCCCGGTGATCCTATTACAGTATGATGCCTATCTATACACGCGGTGCCTAGCGGGGTTTGCTTCGGCGAACGACGGGGCCCGTCCGTGTTACGTAATGCGTGCGACTCTAATACACGAACACAAACAATATTTTCTTTCGCCCTTTTACAAACGCCGAATGAACGAGCGAGCCACACCAAGAAGATTTTCATTATCGCTTTTACAAACATTCCCAATGAATGATCGCATGAATGAGCGAAGGGCCACAAGGCAGGCAATTACGGCCCGCTAAATACTATTACGGACATTGGTCCACCTAGTGGTGCGTCCCCCAGGCCTCGTGTGTACTTATGACAACGGACCGCGGTGGACAAATACCATTAATTAAGCTAGCAATGTTGTCTGCCATCGAACGAAAGCTTCGCCTCACACGCGGTCGCAAAACTAGAGCACTGAGCGGCGAACGACAGAGGGAAAGTTGTTCGCGGATGACGAGAAGCGCGAAAAAAGAAGCAATGCGAAAATTAAAAAACGTTTCTACTTGACTCATTGAGACGAGAATCTCTCGCTCGCCGGACAAGATAATCACACACAACACGGGCACTTTGGTGTGTGACACGCAATGGCGACGGTAACCGTTACACACACACACACACACACACACAACACAACACACACACACACACACACACACACACACACACACACAACACCACACACAAAAAATACACACACACACACACACACACACACACACACACACAACACACACACACACACACCACAACGCCGCGCGCACACGCGACGACACATACACACAACCACACACACACCAACCACACACACACACACACACACACACACACACACACAGCACACACGCACACGACATACACACACGCACACACACACCACACACACACACACACACAACACCACACACACTCTTCCTCTCTCCTCTCTCTCTCTCTCTCTCTCTCTCTCTCTTCTCATCTCTCTCTCTCTCTCTCTCTCTCACACACATACACACACACACTCACACGCCAAGACAAAGAACCCTCGACGAACATTCATCGAACAATGAACAATCACATTGGATGCTCTCCACCCCGCGGCACTGTAATTAGGGCAATAATTGCAAACCACGGCCACGCCGCCCCGACGCTGCTCACGGCAGACGCGCGCTCGCAAGCAGCGGCCGCATCCTTTAAGCATCCGCCGATGGCCGGGTCACGTGACGGCGTCGGCGCGTGATAATATACGTGTCGTGGCGACGATCGTTCGTCACTCTTGCTTAACACGTCGACGGGACAAAGGAAGAAGTCCTTACTTCTCTTCTCTCAGCAGAACTTCAGCGACTCACCGATAAACCGTAAAGTTTTTAGTTCGTGCTGATGATGGTACGTCCGTTGTGATGCTGGTTGGTGTGTGCATGGTTTGTTTGTCAGTGCGTCACCCTCTCTCTCCTCTCTCTCTCTCTCTCTCTCTCTCTCTCTCTCTCTCTCTCTCTCTCTCTCTCTTCTCTCTCTCTCTCTCTCTCTCTCTCTCTCTCTCTCTCTCTCTCTCTCCTCTATGTTGTTCCTCTTTCTCTCATTCTCTCTTCTAGCTATCTCTCTTTCTCTCTTTTTCTCTTTCTCTCTTTCTCTCTTTCTCTCTTTCTCTCTTTCTCTTTTTCTCTCTCTAAATATCTACCTATCTATCTATCTACCTATCTATCTATCTATATATATCTATTTATCTATCTATCTATCTATATATCTATCTATCTATCTATCTATCTATCTATCTATCTATCTATCTATTATCTATCTATCTATCTTATCTATCTATCTATCTATCTATCTATCTATCTATCTATCTAATCTATCTATCTATCTCTCTCTCTCTCGTCTCTCTCTGTGCTGTCTGTCTCCTCTCTCTCTCTCTCTCTCTCTCTCTCTCTCTCTCTCTCTCTCTCTCTCTCTCTCTCTCTCTCTCTCTGTCTGTCTGTCTCTCTCTCGCTCATGTTAGTATTAAGAGGCATTGTAGTTAGTAATGAGTTATTAGTATTATTATTATAGCTAATGTTATATTTATATGACATATAATAATATATAACATATTATATTACATAACATCATGTAATACCATGGCATTAGTGGTAACTGAGCATATATAGTCTCATGGTAGCATCACTGAGGCGTGGCCAGTAATAGTGTTCTTGTGTATTGAGAGAGATAGCAATACTGTACAGCAAGTGATAGCATCAAAGGCACGGCGAATTTTAGGTTCGGCGAAGTTGAACTGTGGAATAATAATGATTTAATTTGTGTGATAATAACGAGAGATACTGAGATACTGAGGCTGCAATGAAGTGGACATGCTAGGTTGTTTCATCATCCGGTTCTCTCCTTCGCTCGCAGCCAATCATGAACGCGTTCACCTCCGCCATCTTGCTGGGCCTCGTCTGTGGCGCCCTCTGCGGACTCCACGACGACGGCTACGGGGCGACCCGCCGCGGTTACCATGACGACGACGCATACGGTCACGGCGCCGCTGACGGCTACGCGAGCGGCCCGACGTACGGCACCCGTGGCTACGATGGTGTCGCGCACAGCGGGCTCCGACACGGAGACGGATACGGAAACGGCGGTTACCAACACGGAAACGGATACGGAAACGGCGGTTACCAACACGGAAACGGATACGGAAACGGCGGTTACCAACACGGAAACGGATACGGAAACGGCGGTTACCAACACGGAGCACTTGACGCCGGTTTCCTTGGCAACTTCGGCGACCTCGGAGTCGGAAGCCTCGGTCTCAAGAACTTCGGCGGAGAATTCGTCGACGTCGAAGGTTTCAACTTCAACCAGGGCCGCAGCGACGCCGCCGCCGTGGCACCAGAGGGATCTGCTATCCGATCCCGTCCGGCCGTCGTCGGAGATCGTCACCGATCTGGATCCGCGAGCCAATACGAGACCAGCGCGGCCGAGAGAAGCGGAGCCGGATCGGGAGAGGCCGGCGTCGCTATCAGCGCTGCCCGCAAGGCTGAGCAGAATGCAGCCCAGCAGTTCACGCAAGAGGCAGCCGGAGCAGGACACGCGAGGGCCGGAGCCGGATACAGATTCCAGAAGGTACCACGCGTCGCCTACCAGCCCGTCAACATCGCCCCGGCGAAGGTACGCTTAGGCAAGACCGTGCGTCATCCATCCCCCCGCGGTGCTCCTGCTGCTCTCGCCGTCCGCGGGTCTCATGCTGCACTAGCCGAGCACGCTGGACCAGCCGAGTACGTTGCACCAGGCCAGTATGCTGCACCAACCGAGTATGCTGTACCGGCTGCATATGGCAGACGCACAGCGTATGATGCACCCGCTAGGTACGCTGCACGCAACGAGTATGCTGCACCCGCTAGATACGCTGGACGCGCCGAGTATGCTGCACCCAATGAGCACGCTGCACACACCGAGTATGCTGCACCTACTGAGTACGCTGCACACAACGAGTATGCTGCACCCAATGAGTACGCTGCACACACCGAGTATGCTGCACCCAATGAGTACGCTGCACACAACGAGTACATCGTCCGGCATCTTAATCTTCATGCTTTTCTGGCTTCCTTTCGCTTCATGGCATATTTCGATTTTCTAGATTAGGGTTATTATGTTTAATACGCGGATATGATGTGCAGGCACATTTTTTCAGTATTTGACGATTTTACGATTCAAGTATACAAGCGTTTTCCCTTATAGGGATTATCTAAATCGTAAAATCGTTTATTTCGTTATATCGGTTCAAATGTATTTGAACATTCTTAAGTTTGATTATATGTGTAGACTATCAAGACGCCGGTTGCTAAGCAGCGGCATTTATCTTTGTAATATTATCTGAAGTTTGTTAATGGGATTTATGTTTGACTAAAATGTAAGATACTTTTTAGTTTATTAGATCTATTTTTGCTCACTATTAAACACACTTCGG